CAGCTGCTGCAGGTTTGTTGGCGGTTTCCACTCCTAAATAGCCCAGAGTTTTTTCGGGTCTATTTTAATTCCCTCCGTGGAGATCACGTGCCCTAGGAACTCCAGTTCTTGTATTAAAAACTCGCACTTGGAGCCCTTGGTGATGAGAGGATGCTGCTGCAACCACTGAAAAACAGCTTCCAGGTCCTTCAAATGTTGCTCCCGGGTCGTGCTGTAGATCAGGATGTCGTCCACGTAAATTATCACGCATTTGTCAAGTAGATCGCGGAACACCCCGTTCATTGTGAGCTGGAACATCGAGGGGGCGTTCGTTAATCCAAATGGCATCACCGTGTATTCGTAACTCCCGTAGCGAGCACGAAACGCGGTCTTGTGGCGATCGTCAGCGAACACCCGAATTTGGTGCTAACTGCTACGAAGGTCGATCTTCGAAAAGTAGCGAGCTCCGCGAAGGTTGTCAATCAGCTCGTCCGTGCGTGGGATTGGGTAGCGCGATTTTATCGTTACCCAATTAAGGACGCGATAATCCGTACACATGCGAAGTCTGCCGTCCTTCTTTGGGGTGAACAAGATCGGTGCTGCGAACGAGGATGTGCTCGGCCGAATAAACCCATTTGCCAGCAAGTAGTCCAGCTGGTTTCGTAATTCGTGTAGCTCCGGCTGAGTCAGACGCCATTGGGTTCGTACAGTAGGCTGCGCGCCGGGCTCCAGCTCGATTTTGTGGTCATGGGGTCATTCGGGTGGCAGTCCACTTGGCAAATCGTCCGGGAAAATCTCAGGATATTCCCGAATGATTGTTGCCATGTCATCCGGGACCGAAGCGCAGAGTTTGTTGATGTCGGTCGCCTCGTTCTACTCCGTTGATTCGGTTAGATGGACGGCGTATAAATCCGCTCCATTCTTGACCGCTCGTTTGAGGCACACCGCGTTGACTCGTGTCGATGTCGTCTCCGCTTCCGGCCACGTGGGTAATTTTCGCCAGCCTTTTTCACACTTCATTGTGCACTCGCCTTTCGTCCAAACGATCTGCGGGTTGAATCTTCGCAGCCAATCGCGTCCCAACAGTGCATCGTAGTCGTCGAGTGTTGTCGCCAACATCGGCGCGCTGAAGCCGAAATCTTCGCCACACTTCATTCAAACGACGGGTACTCTGTCGCGAATCGCCAGCGGGGTGCCATCCACCAGTCGCGCGTCGATTTCCGGCAGGCACCGCTCCAGCGATAAGTGTAGTCTTCGTGCTGTCTCTTGATTTATCAGGCTGTGACTCGCACCTCCATCGATGAATATTTTTATTTTTCTTGCATTGAGTCGTCCCTCCACCAGTACAGGGTGGTCCACTGGGTCATCCCCCTTATTCAGCCAGGAGCGGTTGATAGCGTGTATCGGAACTACTACCCGGTTGGGATGGTGTTTTTCGGGCAATGAAGCATGGTCAGTAGGGGGCCCGACCGCTACTAACGCTTGGCGTTTCCCAACCTGCCTTCATCATTCTTCTTTATCTGCTTCCTTCGGGGGCATTCGTGAGATTGGTGACCCGGCTGGTGGCAGTTTAAACATTGTCCCTTGCAAAAATCTTCCATGTGATCCCTCGCCACTACGCCGTGAATCGTGGGCCGTGGATCCTGGCCACGAAAACGATTTCCTTTCCGGGAACCCGCTCTCGCATACGTCCGATGTGCGTCAAAAGTGTCTGCGATCCAGACTGCTTCGTGAAACGTCGCCGGAAGTCGCAGTCGGACCTCGCATTTTATGTCCTGCTTCAAACCTGAAATGAATCGAGCTTTCTTCTCGTAGTCATGCATGTCGGTGGTTTGATCGCATAACGCCATGAAGGCCGACGCGTAATCTTGGACAGAACTCCATTGGCGCCAGTTGTCCAGCTTCGTACGTGCGTTGTCCGAGGCGGATATTGGCTCGAGCCATTCACGCAGAGCTGTACCCCACGCCTTCCACGTGTGAATCTTGGTCGATCCGAAAATCGCGGTTGACCCTTGGGCAGCAGACCCAAAGTTTCCGAAAAACCCCTGTATGTCGACTGCCGAAAACTCCCCCTCCTGTAGTGTATATCGCCACCAATCTAGCGCAGGTCCTCGCAGTAATAATACAGCAAGCCGTATTTTTAAATCGTCAGCAGTGATCCCAGCGGCATTAAAATACAGCTCCGCCGAAAATAACCAGCCCGTAACAGTAGTATTCTTATCTGTGGGGTTGAACGGGGGCGACATTGTCGGTTTTCTTCGTCGCTGTCGTCATTATCGGCACGAATGCCGGTGCGGCTATAGTAGCAGCTGCTTTTGACCGGGCGGCTGCTGCTGACGCTGCTGCTGCTTCGGGTGCTGCTCGTGTGGCCACGTCAGCTGCTGCGGCGGCTTCGCTATCCTTGCGCTCCTGAATCACTGAATGACGATACAAGGAATGGCAAGCCAAGATATAGGAACACCTGAGCTAATCTAACCATGAGATGGAAAGGTTCGGGAAGGAGATCGAAGGTTCTCGAGTGACGAAGCGAGGCCCGGAGAACTCCCGAAGGTCGAACCAGTAGGTCTGGAGAAGCCGAGGTGATTCTGTCAGAAAGGTCCGGAACCATCCCGAGGCTTCGGGTGTGTTTGAGCGTACGCGATAGCAGTACCGCTCGGTAAGGAATAGAAAATTCCTTACAATCCTCGGGGAAGGGCCACAGGTGCAGAGCCTGTGGGGCTATGGGCGCACTGATCCGCTATTAACAAGCCCTTTTAACTCAGTGGTTAGTGGTTGAGTTTCTTACAAATACCATATTGGAATAGCGAGAAAAAAGTGTGACTAGGAAGAGGGGAGCGAAGATACAAGTACAAGAATATTGTCCCCTCTAAAAACTGACCTAGCTAGGCTATAACAAACATATCTAAACTAACTAAATATGTATCGACAAAACTATCTGTTTGTTGACACAGACTCCTCATCGATGAAAGGGGTGGAGCAAGGATCCTTGTCATCGAGATTCTAGTCTAGTTTCATGGTGCCATAGCCACGTCGTTGCCCTGACACGGATGTTGCAGGAACATGGTCCCCAATGTTGTGATATGATTCATACTTAGCATTTCTGTAAGTCGATTATCGATAGATAGTGTCGAATCCTACTGTAGAAGATAAGTCCGTAGGATGACGCCAGCAAATAGCGCTCGTCATGAGGACAGTCGTTTCAGTCACGCGAACAGTCGCGTCTCCTCAGTGTCATTTAGGGTCATAACGCGATAGTGTCAACAGGTACATTAGCGAACAGATACTTCTGTTAAATATAAAAGTAGCTTGTCTTCATTGTTTAGTTAATGTGGTTCTGAACTTGATTCTGAACTTGTTCTTAATTTGTTCTTCAGTAAATTGTAGTCATTACTCTACAAGTTCTAAGACTTCCGCTACCTTACTAGTCTACCATTCCAGTAAAGATCCTAGGCTAACACTTGAGGTTTTCCAAGTGTTCGTGTTTGCAGATTCTATAGTTAGTCTCCTGCAACACGTGTCAAATTATTACACCCAACACCACAGAGTCATGTGTACTGACACAGCACGTCACCAGGATTGCCTGTGATTTGGCCGAATAGCAGCTTTCTTGCCTTGCTGTGCTGGTTACATATCCGTGCCTTGTTTCCGTGCATGTTATCAGCCTGTCCTTTCTGAAAACACGCCATTTTGTCTTGGTTCATTTCGCTAATAATTTGCCTTGTTTTTTAACCTCAGAATTGGCCGAAGGAGCATTTCTTTCAGCTATGCTCTTTAGATCAATCTGGGTGTCTTCGTAACGCGCGGCTATCATGGAGGTTTCCTATAACAGGGATGCTATTTCTGATTTGGAGTGCCCAGACCGGATGCGATCTTTCATGCAACTCAACATGAGTGCTATCTTTCGTGTGACTGGTAGGTGCTCTAAATTCTCACGTGTAATCACAATCAGCACATTGCACAATTGTTGGTGGTGAGGAGATGACGATGAGACACGTGTCAGTATGAGGTTGCAGGTCTGTCGCCGCTGCCATTACAGTGCAGGAATTGTGGAGGGATTATCATTCCATCAATACAGGTTGTGGACAGCGATCGAAGGGCTAAATCGGAATGAAATTTCAGATGGAACAGGATGGTGGGGGAAGCATCCTCAGAGCCAGGAGAAGTAATCAATGCGGTTTGGCTTAGATTTTGTTATCAGTCAACGAGCGGCTATGGTTAGGCGCGTGCGCTGGCTGAAGTCGTGGGGACCAGTCGAGTCCCCTTCAGCACGTGCCGGCTGTTTAGAAACGAGCGGCGAAATGGATGCCATAATGAGGAAGGTGGTTAACTTAAACCCTTTTCGTTTCGAACTATCTCGGCCAAATTACACATGAAAGATCACTTACATAAACGTTTCATCCGGACATCCCAAGGTCGTCAGTGGGGAGAATATACTGTAAAGGGGAAGGTTTCCTTGCGGGGTATTGCCATTGCCACAATTAACAGCATTGATTTCATAAAATACATGCGCAACTCGAAGGAGGCAGGGGAGCTATCACGTGCTAATCAATCAGCAGCAGCAGCACGACTAACCGACTCGAACGACTGGATGGTATGATTCGGGCGAGGCTATTGAGAGTGACAGCAGCATGCACGACTGTCTGCGAGAGAAGAATCTGGCTTCACGTACTTGTGCAGTGCAGAGCGGAGGAGGCGACGGTCGACATGGCAGCTCTTGGATTTGCCACGCTTTAGAATTTCTTGAACCAATGGTTCAGTGAGGGCTGCCAGGGGGGAGCCAGGAGCACCACAGAACTTCCAACTGGCTCTTAATATCTTCTGAGTCATCATCCTCCCTGTCCGCTCCCCCTTTTCCCCCACCTTCCCTCGTTCCTTTCCTCCCTCCCTACTCTCGCCAAACCTCCACCCTCTCGCCAATCCTTCTCCTCGTCCCGTGACCTGTCTGTCCCATTGTCGACAGGACGACTCGTCACTCGTTCCTCATTTCCCCTCCATTCCCCTCCTCTGCCTGCAGACAAGACTGACTGCTCCGACACCACTGAATTTCCGGGATTTCCCTGGGCACTTGGGACACGCTCTGAAGGGTCTTCCTTCCTTCCCAGTCCAGCCCGCGGCATATCAGTTCCTCGAATTCTTCCAGCAAGCGATACACTCGACTGTCAGTTTCGAGAATGATATCATATCACTCTAGTGCAGTACAGCTACATATTTCAGAACAGGGTGTCACTCACCAGATGTCATTCGTCGAGCACAGACTTGAAGAGCCGAACTCACAACGCCGTTGTTGACGGTCATCTCATTCGAACTGCCGATGGACTGCCAAGGCAGCGCGTTAGTGACCGAAGCGGCACGAAGGAGAGTAATTAATCTTCCGGTTCCGGAGAAGTAGCCATCATAGTCAGCATCAGACCTGCGACGAGCCAGTCTTCCAGTTTTACAGGCAGCTGTTTTTTTTTTACCCGCTGAATACCCGCTATTGTCGGACTCGCTGTAAATAAACGCCGCCCAGGAATAGGCTCGGCCATGGCGTCGACGTTTCAAGCTCCGCCAGCCTTCCATCCATCGAGACCCCCCAGCAACAGACATTCGTTCCACACCACCGATAATGCGATGTTCTCTCGACCATCAGAACCCGACCTTTCCGCTTCCGCAGCATGTCGTGACATTTCATGCTCCGCCACGCATCCCGGCGGGCTTCCCGGCGGGTATTCCGCCGCCGGGCCCGCTCTGGACCGCCGGCCGAGCCGCAGCCGTCTGCTCGCTGACGTGGAAATGGCGGCGCTGGAGGGCAAACTGGCTCTGCTGGAGTCGCAGCGGCAGCTGAGCGCAGTGAAGTGCAAAATGTTTGTCGATATGATGGAATCTACCATGGAATCTACTATGGATATGGAATCTAACATGGGATCTGCCATCGAGTCTACTCTGGAGGGGGACTCTGTTTTTTCTAGGAACAACAGCGGTTTGGGACGACCAAAAGTAGCAGGCGCGAAGCAGCACATGGCATGTGATAGAATACGCGGCGTGAACACGTCGGGGGTTACCAGTCGCAACAGCAACAGCAGCAGCGGCGCCGGCACCGGCGGCGGAGGCGAAAGCAGTGGTGACGAGCGGGGGCCGGCGCACGGACGGGTGAGAGGAGCAGGCGCGGCGCACTACGTGGACCATCGGCGGAGGTCCGTCGACGTGGCTTCGATATCTTCCGCATCGGCGCGCTGCGCGTCGTGGCGGGAGGACATGGTTTTCTACAGCCCCTCGGGCAATCCGTCCCGGACCCTGTCGCGCACTCTCTCCCGCCGCCGCAGCGGCTCCTTCCGCCCCGCGGCTTCCCCCGCGGCGTCCCCGCTCGCTCCGGATGCCGCCATTGTCGCTGCCGGCACTGGTACTGGTGTTCGTGCTGGCGCGCCGGCGATCAAGACGTTGTCGACTTTTGATGAGGCGCCTCAATACTCGCCACGTGGCGGGGCTCGGCGCGCAGCATTAGCAGCAGCGGCAGGGCGGAGATCGTTTCAAACGATCCGGGAGCTGCGGTACGAAGAGCAGTACGAGCAGCATCTCGGCGCAGAACGCGCCGAGTCTGGCGGGATTCGTTGGGCCCCGAGTCAACAACGGTACGAACACACCCAGCGGAGTCAACCGAGTCTATTAAGTCAACGGAGTCAACGGCTGTCGAAGAGGGATCTCGTTTCGGCGTCGGACGAGTGCGATTGGCTCGCAAATCCGCCGTTGCCGTCTCGCGCATCGACCGAACCCTTATCCAACGGCTCCAAACGCGCCACGTCATCATCGGCCTTCATCGTGCCGTCCGTCTTCTCTTCGTCCAACTCTATCGCCACCACCTGCCCTATCTTCGACTCCTCCCTCGAGACTTGCTCGTCCCGCTCATCGTCCTCCCCCTCCTCCTCCTCCGCCTCCCCCTCCAGCCCCAACTCTTCCGCCCGCCTCCACTCCCCCTGGGTCAACGCCGAGCGGCCCTTCGAACGGCTTGCGCAGACGACCGCTGCATCTTCTCCTGCAGAATCGTTTTTCCCTGCTGACGAGAGTTGTGAGCCACCTGCCACTCCGTCCGCCTCCTGCGCGTCACCGTCCGAAAATGGAAAGTGCGCCAAGGAAGGAAAGAGCAAGTCGCGGGGAGGCTCTTGGCGCCGGTGCGCGCAACCGAAATCAATGGAGCGGGCGGAGAAAGCGGGAGAGGCGCAGGGGAAGGCGGGGGGCGCAGCGCAAGAGGGCAAGACATCGGCGCACCGGGACAGGCGACGATTGAGTCTGGGAGGGTTCGCGAGCAGCCTGCTGGGCGATTTGCGGTACAAATAGACTTGTTCCAATTTGATCTGTTCCAATACCGAAGCAGCTTCAAAGAGCACCAAACCAGCCCTGCACCGGGGCAGTGTACACTGGACCTCACTACACTTCCGCCTTCGATTCGCCAGCCTGTACACTGCAGTTTGCACCAGAATATTGTACAAGGCCTGTACACCGGATTTTTTTGCGCAGCAGCTGTTGCACAAGCAGCTTCCTGGGACTACGGACCTTTGAGCTTTGGGGAGAACGGTAGCTGAACGTACACCTGGCAGCAGCAGATGCAGCAAGAGGAGCAAACGCATCACCCTCTGCAATTTTTGCCACCTAGTGGCTATTCCACAGCAATAAGAGGGAGCTCCCTGAAATTAAACCCGATGAAGCTTTCTCAAGTTCTTGCTCAACTATGTGGCATGCTAGTGTGACCTTTTAGTTATCCAACTTGTTGGGCTGATAAAAGCCCTTGGGATCTTTTCCAGAGACTAAGTCCCAGCTGTAGAGACTTGAGACCTTGAGTAGTGCAGCGGAAGTTTGAGACAGTTGAACCCTTGTACTAGTATGTGAGAACAAGTGATTGATTAAAGAAACAAGCATACAGCAATATATAGAAGATAAGAAAGCAGTTGTAGAGTACAGTCACAGGAACGGTTTATCGAGTCGCACAGCGACTCGATTGCCGCTTCGGTTACCATCCGTGATGTTGTAACGGTCAGTCGCAACCTCCAGTTGCGACCTTTCGAGTCTTTTCGCATTCTTTGTCCGTCCCCTCATGTAACCTCCGTTGACTCGCGTGCTCCCCTGTAGTCTTCCTCGAGTGCAGTGTTACACTTCAGAAACGCTCAAGTCCTTTGAGATATTTCCAACACTCCCCTTCGTTTCTGGAGTGTTGACGTGTTCGGGTCCGGTGACGTTTGTTTGCCCGGTCAGGAGCATGCAGTAGTCGAATTTTGCTTTCGCCAATTTCTTCGTCAGATAATCTGCGGCCATTTCTGTCGTCGGGCAGTAACTGAGTTGAAGTCTCCCCTTCGCGATTTCATCCTTGACGAAGAAGTACCGCAGGGCGATGTGCTTAGTTCGGTTGGCGAAGCCGTCCTTGTTCGCGATTTTGATCGCAGATTGGTTGTCGCAGAGGAGTGAGAAGGCGGGCAGGGTCGCAATCTTCGCTTCCTCGAGTAACTCTCGTAGGTAGAGTCCTTCCTTGGTCGCAGTACAGAGGGCGATATATTCTGCTTCAGCCGAGGATAGTGCGATTAACTCCTGCTTGCTCGACTGCCAGGAGATAGTTCCGATAGGTTCTAGTCGGTAGATGTAGCCCGTCCTAGATCGTTGATTTTCCCTGTCTCCCGCGTGGTCGGCGTCGACGTATCCGAGTAGTCGTACGGACGGTGTTGTTGTCTTGCTGTAGGTGAGCCCGATCGTCGGCGTGGAGGCGAAGTAGAGTAGCGCCCGATTGAGCTCTTCGAGATCTTCCTGTTCCGGCTGCTTCAGATGCGTCGCCAATTGACTCGCACTATAGGACAGGTCGGGTCGGCAGGTTACTGCTGCGAATAGTAGGCAGCCGAGCATCTGTTGATACTCCTGGATTTGCTTCGCGGGGAGTTTTGCGGAGGCGCTGTTGTTGTTCCCGTAGCGGTAGGGAGTTGGGACTGCAGTCGGTGTTAGACCGAATTTCTTCGCGACGGTGCCTGAGTACTTTCCAGCGTGTAGGTAGAACGCCGTGTCGTTTTCGACGACATTCAGTCCTAGGTACTGAGTAACTTCGTCGGACACCGTAAGTGTTAAGTCTTCTTTCAACTCCCCTTCGAACCAGGTGGCGATGTCGGTAGTGGAGCCGATGTAGAGCAGGTCGTCGACGTAGACGATGAGTAGGACATACTCTCTTCCCTTTTGCAGTCGGTACATCCCTTGGTCATGCGGCAGTTGTAGGAATCCGATTTTTGCGAGACGGCCGTGAAGGTGCTGCTGCCAGAGCTGCGGCTTGCTTGATCCCGTATAGGGATTTTGTCAGTCGGCATACTTTCGTGGGGTCGTCGATGAATCCGTGGGGTTGTTCGACGAAAATCTCAGCGTCCACAGGTGCGTATAGGAACGCATTGGCGACGTCGATTTGGCGTAGTGGTAGTGTCTTCGTGGCCGCGACGGCGAGTAGGATGCGTAATGAGGTGTGACGGGAGACTGGAGCGAAGGTTTCTGTGTAGTCAGTTCCGTATCGTTGATCGAAGCCTCGTACGACCCATCGAGCTTTGAATCGTTCGATGGAGCCGTCTGAGTTGGTCTTGATGCGGTACACCCATTTCCCCGAGAGTGTGAGAGTACGACCTCGTTACACCACTTGGCCTTTTCCATATTTCATCTTCATTTCATTCCTCTTTTTATCTCGTCTCTTGTGGCCTCATATTTCCCATTTTCCCTTATCCTTTGGTTTCTTCCTTTATTATTATTATATCACCGACCAGGCATGGAATGTTCTAGACACGCTATCTAGCGTAATCCTGCCGTAATCCCTTAAAGCCAATAGCCTCGCGTGGCTATACGCAGGGTGATTCTATTTTCTAGAAGGGTCTATTCCTTTAGATAGGATAAACCTGGTTACCTGATGTACTCTGGAAGTATAAAAGCGCCTTGTACTGATCGATAGTGCAATCGATCCTCGAGTCATTCGATCCTGTGACAGAGAGGACGTTCTTCCCGTTGATGCTTGTTGCAGGTACCAGTTTCCATGTTTCTCGATCTTGCAGAGCCTTTAACTCCTTTTCCATCGCTTCTTTCCATTTTGCCTTATGTTCCCCCCCCAGAGCCTGCGACAAGGTCGAAGGCTCACGCGGAGAAGGCGGCGGTGGATGCTGGACGGAGACCCAGAGGCCTAGAATCTGCAGTCCCGTGGGTGTGTGTCGGGGGGAATTTTCATTCCCGGAATAAGCTGCTTCGTCACCGTCTTCTGGGTCAGGTGAGAAGTTGGGACCGATGCGTTCTGAAACATTTGTGTCAACTGGGTGGGGTGTAATGTAACCTTGGTCAGCGAAGTGGTAGAAGGTGTCGAGGTTGTTACTATCGAGAGGATTGTCGTCGTCGAGTGGAACAGATACGGAACAGAATGGGAGTGGTCCGGCAGTTTCCGAGGCTCCAGGTACGTCTTCTTCTGCCGCGTCAGCTTCGGCAGCACGATCGGTGAAGGAACGAAGTCCCGAGAAGCCGTTGGTGGGGTCTTGTGTGTTGGCGATGTTGTCCAGGTAATGCTGCAGCGTCAGTCGCTCGTAGAAGATAACATCACGTGATGCCACCGTATCTTTGTCTTGTATGTCGAGAATTTTCCACGCGTGAAAATGTTTGGCGATGCCGAGGTGTAGTCCCCACCGAGCTCGTTGTGTGAAGCGTCCTGCTCGGGCTGTGTGGGGTCTGTACTGTACCATGCAGCCGAAAACTCGGAGTAATTTTGTGCTGCCCCTTTTTCTTGTCCACAACAGGTGCGGTGATGCGTTGTTGGGAAGTGATGACGAGGACAACAGGTTGTGCAGGTGAACTGCATGTGTCATCGCGTCTGGCCACAGTGTCGTGGGCAGCCTCATCCCCAGAAGCAGTTTTCGCATCGTCGTCTGCAAGGTCCGATTCATGCGTTCTGCGACCCCCTGCTGTTGGTGAGCATAGGGCAGGGACACCATGCGTCTGATTCCTCTTTCCGCCAGATAGGTCCTGAAGCGTTGTGACTGGTATTCCAGTGCACCGTCTGACTGGAAGCTCTTGAGTTTGAGTCCCGATTCTCGTTCGGCGATGGGAAGCCATGTTGTGAAGGCTTCGAAAGCTTGATCGCGCGTCTTGAGATTGAAGTGCCAGACGTATCTGGTTGCTGCGTCGATGAACGTGATGACGTAGTTGAAGTCGGCTTCGGTGTCTTCTCGAGGCATGTTTAATATATCGCTGTAAACTTTTTCCATCGGAGCGTATGCAGGTGCGCTTGGGTTGTGATGGGATGAGAAAGGCTGATGAGGAAGATCTGCTTCGGGGCACGTGAAGCACCGTGCTTGTGGTCGTCGAAGTTCTTGGCCGTTTGTCGTTAGTAGGGCGTTGCGTTCTAACACTTCTGCCTGGATGGTTTGTAGTATGGTGCTGTTTGCAGGGTGCCTGAGGCGTTGGTGCCATATGTCGTCGGAAGCGCGATGACCGGGTGAGCGGTGGTATATGTCGGCGCTGGAGAAGAACGCGACGACTGTGGCGGGACTGCGACAGGCTTCTCGTGTGACAGGCATAAGCTGGTCTGCTTCGGTTGGCGGTCCTCGGATCGCTGGTGGTGGGACTCGGCTGGGTCCTGCTGCTGGTACTGCAGGTGATGGTTTGGTTGGGATACTTGCGGGTACTTGTCTTTCTTGTCTGATGACTGCTAATGCTCGTGTTCTTTCTGCTGCAGGTATGGTGTTGGAGTGCCAGAATCCGTCACTGTCGAAGTCGGGATCAAGATCCGGCGGGTGTGTCCATGCGGCGAACGATACGATGCCGTCGCTGTCGGCAGTGCCGCGGTCGGGGACGAAGTCCAACACGAAGACGCCGGACTTCAGGAGGGCACGGCCTATGAAGAGACCGCCCTTCCCGTGGTAAAGTCGAAACTCGTTGGAGTAAGAGTCGCACTCCAGGTGAATCCCCTTGGCCATTAGTTGGCTTACGCTTAGTAGGTTGTATCCCAGGTTGTCGACAATGAGGACTTTGTTGAGCTGAAGTATGACGTTCGTCTCCATGGATTGTAACTGAACCATGCCTTGTCTGTTTGTCTTCAGGTTTTCGTTGTTGGCGACGGTGATGATGACGTCGCGGTTGAGGCGTTTCTCCTGTTGCACGAAGCGTCCCGAAGAGCACATGTGTTGACCGCAGCAGCTGTCCAAGAACCAGGTGTTTCGCCCGGTGGGTTCGGCGTAGGCGACCGCAGCATATGTTGGATTGACTTGAAGTCCTTGTGAGCGCGGTGGTGGGAGCTCCTCTTCATCTGGCGTGTAAGTTGGTGGTGATCCTGGTGTGCAGTTGTCGATGTGTACCATGCAGTTAATAATGTTTGGTGTCTGTTGTGCAGATGTTGAAGAGCGCCTTGGGGGACTTTCTTGAGTGGAAGCGACTTGTGGGTCTGCTGGACGGTAAACGCGAGGGCGGTTGCAGTTGATCTTGGAGTGTCCGGAAGTCTGGCAGTTGTGGCAGAACGGCGGCACGAAGGTGAGTCCCCTGTTGTCGCGTTCTTGCTTGCCGCGTCGATTGTAGTTGTTGTCGTTCCTTCGTTGAGTGTAGAAGACTAACTGCTGCTGCTTCCTTGGTTGTCTTTCTTCGAACAGGTCCATCTCCTGTTGTTCAGCGTGAAGCTCGGCGCAGAGGTGCATCTCCAAAATCCTTCCATGGGCGCGAAGAAGCGATCGTGTGGTTCTCCATTCTGGCCCGAGCCCGGCGAGAACAAGTGTCTTGAAGCTTTCTTCAGTGATTGTTCCTCCGCACCGAAGCAGGCGGTCGCGGAGGGTCTGGCAGCGACTCATATACTACATCTCCTTTTCCGCGGTCTTCATTTGTATTGTTGTCAGTTGTTGCATAAGTCTGCTTTGTGTCACGCTGTCGTTTGCTTGGTAGAGGCACTTGAGATGATGCCATGCGAGCTCCGCAGAGTTTCCATAGCTCCTGTATGTTCCGATGCTCTGCTGCTCTTGTGGTGACAGGTTTCTCAGGAGAACCGTATACGCCAGAAGCGACTGATACGTGAAGATTTCTTGTTCCTTTCCAGTGCCGTTGCTTGGGAATGGCAGGGACCCGTTGAAGTATCCCAGAAGATGCGCAGCCTCCATCAGCAGCTCGAACTCGAAGCTCCAGGTAAAGAAATCGTGTCCGTTGAACGGTGAGGATGTCTGCAGTTTAATTACGTGTGAAAACTGCGCCTGGAGACTTAGAATCTCGTTTGGTGTTTGTTGTGATGCAGCTGCTGTTGGTTGGGCACGGGGCGGCATGAACTCGAACGTCCCCGGTGAAGAGTGATAAGGCGCAAAGGTAGGCGCTTGATTGTGTCGCCCAAACGATGAGTTGTCGAGGCTCATCGGTGCTAATCCCATGTTTCCTCCATTGCTCTGTGTCGAATGCGCAGGTGGCCTTGTCTGCTGCTGCTGGTCGAAGTGCGACATGAAGCTGAAGAATCTTTCCATAAGGTTGGGGTCCACGCTTGAAGAGGGAGATGGAGTTACCATCTCTGGTACCCTTGCTGTTGTTTCTTGAGCAGTCCCGGTCTCTGTCTGCAGACCTGAGGTGTGCAGACCAGAGTTGCCGTGTTGAGTTTCTTGGCCGCTGGGTGAGCCCGTAGAGACTTTCTTGCCCTTGCTGTCCATGTCTTGTAATCAGTGAAGTTGTTGAATTTGAGTTGAGTTGCAGTTTGTTGATGAAGTGCAGTTGTTGGGAGTTTGGTCTCTGACCAGCTCTCATACCATGTTGGGCTGATAAAAGCCCTTGGGATCTTTTCCAGAGACTAAGTCCCAGCTGTAGAGACTTGAGACCTTGAGTAGTGCAGCGGAAGTTTGAGACAGTTGAACCCTTGTACTAGTATGTGAGAACAAGTGATTGATTAAAGAAACAAGCATACAGCAATATATAGAAGATAAGAAAGCAGTTGTAGAGTACAGTCACAGGAACGGTTTATCGAGTCGCACAGCGACTCGATTGCCGCTTCGGTTACCATCCGTGATGTTGTAACGGTCAGTCGCAACCTCCAGTTGCGACCTTTCGAGTCTTTTCGCATTCTTTGTCCGTCCCCTCATGTAACCTCCGTTGACTCGCGTGCTCCCCTGTAGTCTTCCTCGAGTGCAGTGTTACACTTCAGAAACGTTTAAGTCCTTTGAGATATTTCCAGCACAACTTACCCTCTTGTACTGCAGAGCAGAGTCTTCCTGTTCCAGATCCTGAAGGTCTGTCTAAGACTAGGATTTACAGCGCATGTGGAAACTATCCGCGGCAAGAGGTTACTTCTGTCCATCCATGATGCAGGATGTTATGAATGGGACTGCCGAGTAGCGTGGATGGCAATGGAGAAACTGTGAACGAGTGAGTGACAATCAAATGAAAGACAACACAATTTATAGAAAACCTAGGGTGATCCTGGACGTAGGATCGGAAGGTTCGGGAAAGGTATCGAAGGGCCTCGATGTGTCGTAGCGAGCGAGATCCGGAAAGGCCCAGGAGGCTCAAACTGAAAGGTGTGGAACCCTATCGCTGGATCTGTTCGAGTCGTACGCCCTGTAGCAAGCCTCAGAGGGAATTCCTAATTCCTTACACTCTCCCCCCTTCTAGATAAGCACACAAATAAACAAAACTGCAAACACTCTAACTGAATCTCATCGTATTGAAGACACCACTGTTGAGAATCTCGAGCTTCTTCAAGGAAACTCCATCCAACGGTCGAAACGCGTCGAAACGATCGCGGTCGATCGTAGCCATCGAATTTTGGTTGAATTACCCAGATAACCAAATGGGCAGTAGGGATACTACCGCACCACAGCTTCCCTGTCTCCAGCAAGTCTTCGCCGTGAATTACACATGACGTCCAGTGAACCGCCCATTCGTCAGAGGCCCCCATGCACTCGTCAGCAGGGCTGTCGTTATCAGGGTATTTTACCCTGATTCCCGGATTTCACAGGGTATTTTTTTTGCCAACCCTTAATTTTCAGGGTTGGGTTTTTTTGAACCTTAACCTCTTCAGGGTTGTATGTTTGTGAACACTGAAAATTTCAGGGTTTGCGTTATCCCAACACTGAGTTTTCAGGGAGTAACGCGTACGAACCCTGAATGCGACATCCATGTGGCTCACAATGCGGAAATTTAGGCGAAGTCCCCAATCTCCAGAGACATTCCCCCCCCCACACACAACAATTGGTGAAGTCCTCAAACATTCCCTCACACACCAAGCAACCCACAAAAATCGGCTAAGTCATGTGTTGTACAGACATCCCATCCCCTACACACCTAACAACAACCCACAAAAATTAGCTAAGTCTTGATAGGCAGTGACAGCACAAAAAAAAAAAAACGGCTTAGTCCTATTGTACACAAGTTATCCCCCCTCCCACACTCCCACAACCCATAAAAAGGGCTAACGGTCAAGTCATAGAAGGGTACTAGCGACAATGCTCCCTTCTTAAGGAAAGGTTTTTTATTGCCCGTGTGGTCAACTCAAAGTCCATCAAACTTTGACGGCCACGATCAATCGCGATCGTTTCGACAAATTTCAGCCGTTAGATGATCGCGTATGATTAACGCCCTAGATTTGCCCATGGCGCTGCAAGCGCGAGAGGTTTCTGCCACTGCCCCATTCGCCTCGATCCCCACCTCTCCCTCCGTTTCGCTTCCCCTCTCCCCTCTGTTTCGATTCCCCCTTCCCCTCCGTTTCGCTTCTCCCATTCCTCTCTCCTGTATTTCGAAACCCACCCCCCCCCCCCACTTTTTCCCTCCCCGATTCGCTTCCTCTCTTCCCCTATGTTTCCATCCTCCCCCTTCCCCTCCGTTTCGCTCTTCCCCTCCCCTCGGTTTGATTCCCTCCCCCTTTCCCCCCCATTTTTTATTCCCCCCCTCGTATTGAAGGCAACCCTGAATGCGTTCGGTGAACCCTGGGATTTTCAGGGTTCTTGATTTCTGAACACTGAAAAATCAGAGTAGGCAAATTTTGAACACTGAGCCCTCAGGGTAATTTTTTTTTTCTAGTCGACAGCTCGGGGGGGTTTTTATTGAAACGTCAGGCCTGCTCGTCAGTCCGACTGGCATGGATTTACAGGCAATGGCCCGTCTTGGACTGGCCCAATTTTGGGCAGCTCAACCACTTGCGACACTGCTGGGAGCGAACATGTAGAAGGAACAATTGTAGGTTGACTCAGAACCAGGGTGCGATTGTGCGACAGTTACCGGGGTACATGGGAGAAACAACGAATGTCTTCCATGTTCCAAGGGTCCTGCCACATGGGTAACCATGGTCCTACCTTCAGGCCCAATTTGCCAGCGATTTGAAGGCGTCCGTTACTGGAGTAACCGGCCGAAAAAAACTTGGGCCTCTTTCAGACCTCTAGTGTACAAACCCCGTCGTCGTGTACTGTATCCGTACAGTAACACTACGATATTCACACTGCTGCAAGTTGGCGAGCCGAATCTTCATGCGCCAAATTTGTCCGTAGTTCAAACACTGTAGAACACTCCTCATGCAATTCCACGTGAGTCGTGACACTCGCATAAACACGCGTCCGTATTTCGCCAAGTCAACGAACTCCAGCTATTCGTCAAATGCGAGGTAATCCGTGACACATGCGAGAACACGCGTCCGCATCTCACGAAAGTCAACGAATTCCATCAGCACATGTTCGAAAACACAACCCGTCTAGTAACCGCAGTCGATGTCGCTATAGGCGGTCAATATAAATGCGCCTTCAACTTTCGCAAACTCCTGCAAAATTCCTGAAATGCCAACTCGAATCTGCCCGTCGATTCAGTCGGTCAAACAACATCTGTCCGTCGATGCTCATGCAGCGGATGTCAAACTGTCAAGGGAAACTCCAAATAACAACTGCTGCGCAGCTACTCTCTCCCCCCTCCATGAAAAGAAAATCTTCTGTCGTCTATGCCGAAAACACCCTGCTTCAAGTTTCTTCAGACCCCAAGCAATGAAGTATCTTCAAACTCGGTTCGTCGGGACCAGTCTCAGCGCGACCCTATAACGCAGGGCAGCTGCGCCACGTAGACTCTAGCTCCATCCGACGTCGTAGATCAATATTCTGCTCCGCAGAATGCCGTCGATCTGCTTCGTGTTGTTACCCTCAGTAGAAATTTTCGCAACTCCACCTGACCGGTTCGCCGTGCAGACGTTCACCCATCGCGCGGCTACGGCACGTACCCCATAAAAACTTGGGTACAATTCTCAGTTCCGAAAAACGCATTCTCTGCAGTTTCACCGACTAACCATGCTGGTATTTAAACCATCGCACAACTCGGTAGGTACCCGTGACCCCAGCTACCGCTCCAGCCAAAAACTTGAAGAATTCCCACCCTGAAAATACCCGACGTTTAAGCGACGCGCCGACGTTCACCCATCTTTGCGCCCGTCCAGGTAAATCCCCGAATGAGTCATCGCAACCAAGTCTTTGTTTATAGCCCCGCAACTCAGGAATAATCCGTGAAGACTCCCGCGTGACTCAAAATTTTCTGTGACGGCAACACGCTTTTCCCACTGCAACAGTAACCCGAAGCTCTATTTGTTGACTACACTCCAGAGCAGGGGTGAATCCGCCGTGTGCCCGTACTCAGGTAAGCGCAAACGCTATCGTAGTTGGGCGAATTAATCAGTCTAATTCGCGGGCAAGTGCTTTGCAGCTTACGTGAGGGATTCGCCTTCCCCTCCCCCGAAAATTACGTTTCTGCAACAATCTGCTCCAACTGCTGCAATTTCTTCAACGGCTGCTTCCAGAGTAAAACCCCCGTAGGCTGCTGTTCACCCAACGCTCACGTTCGTCATCCTCAAAACAGTAGCGCGCACGTTCTTTCGAAAAAGTCGCAGCCCCGTCGTTCTCGGCGACACATCCTCGCCGTTCGTATCGGAATTGAGCTCCGCGTACCGTCCGATCATCGTCGCAAAAATCCTTCGCTTTCTTCATTAACCTGCTTCTCGCGCCTCCCACTGTACAGCGTACGATTTTCACAAATCGTGCCCCTGTCATGTAGCGCCGAAATTTTTTCTTTATCGATCCACCAGCACAGGGTGATCTGCTGGCTCATCCTCCCTTATTTGTCCGGGAGCGTTCGATAGCATGTATCGTACTACCACCCGGTGGAGATGCCGAAGATCGGGCGACCCAGCCTAGTCAGTCGGGGGGATCCGTTTGCCGCTGACTCTTAATTTTTTCCCGGTTGTTACCCAGTCGTTCTCCTTCTCTGCTTCAGCTCGTTGTCGTTGACTTTTAGCGGTGACCCGGCGATGACACTTAAACTCGACCCGAAGGTAGTTGCTGGTCGTCCTCCGTAGATCGAGAGGTGCAATTTCCGACCACGAAAATGACTTCCTCTGCGGGCATCCAGACTCGCCGAGCTCGAAACTCCAGGGCAGACGAATTACACCTCTAGGCGGACAGGTCACGCAAATAAATTTTGAGGTCGGTACTCCCCGAAACTTTTCCGTGCCTGAGCCCCACGTGTGCTGCCGTGTGATCCTTGGTCGTGCCAAAAACTCCAACGCCGCGTTTGCTGAACAGTATCCGAAGTCCCGTCTTCACCTGCGTGTCGCCTGCCGGAAACGCCGAGCCTCGTAACGTCAGCTACACTTCACCATGCAGCCACGTCTGCTACGCGCGCTCTTGACGAAATCCATTTTGCCTGGGGATATCCGCGAGCTTGTTGTCTCGGGATGAGCTCTTCGCTCCATTCGGACACCAATCCGAATCGTCGTTGCTGCTTGCCGAAAATGCAACCGAAGCCCCTTATAACGATATGCGAAATGAGCAACATACCGAAAACACTCTTCAAAATCTTCACCATGTCAGGACGGACACAACCGCCCTCGAGGGGATGGCTCCCCTCCCCCCCCCCCCCCCCCC